TGCTTGCAAAAATGCTGTTTTTGTTTTTGCATTGTATTGTATTTATTTATTTTTAATTATTTTTGCACGTGATTGTATATTCTTTGCAAAGTGAAATTTGACTATTCACAAAGCCTTGCAAAATGCAACTTCCCTTGCAACAGTGAACAGCCCATTTGCCTTTAGCAAACCAACCCCACTGGTTCATTTGGGTTTGATGTGCCTATTTTTTTAATACATTGGTACAGAATATGTGAATGGTTTACCTTTTTATTATTGTGTGTTAATGCTTAGAAAAGAAATTGGAGTATTCCAGAAGAACCTACACAAATAACAGAGCATAAAATTCCATGCACAATATCACTATAAAGCAAGCCCATTATTGCTTGATGCATATATATACAGATATCCTTGAGTTTGACTTGTAACACACGTAGATAAAGTTGCTGGTTTTCTTCCAGAAGAATGCCAGATTAACATACTGTGAGCTGTCCCACTTATATATGACATAACTGTGTGTATTTGGACAGTTAAAAAAAAATTATGTATTTGGTATAGTGAAGTCAGTGTTTGAATTTTCTAGCTATGATTGATACAGGTTAGAGATCACTCTTCCACAGAATTCTTCTCTAAAGCATAAGAAATTATTTTCAAAAGTTATGAAGTCTTCCGTTGTTTGTCACACATCTGAAATGAAAAGAATCATTTTGATGATATTCGGAAGAGTAGCTTGTGCTTACGGCATTGTGCTTTTTTTTCAACAACAAATCTGAGGCAGCAAAGTCATATTGATGGACAGGATAATTATGTACCCAGTATAATTAAGAACTAATCTATATTGCCCCTGTCAGGGTGTAGTAATTGATTGCATGACAAAATGTAAAGCACCGATTTACTGCAGAGAGCTGTCCATTAGAAGTCAGTCATTGGTGCAGAAAGGACGTTTTACTGAACGTCCAGAAAATGAACTCCAGGCTGGAGAAATTTCAGTAACCGCATATGTTGGACTTAGTGTGGCACCAGGACCATATATATTTTCATACTAACATCTAACCTTACTGTTTCTGTCTTGCTGAGTAGCAGCTGCACAAAATATACTTATTCTTCCTAAGCCTCAGTCTACACACTACTCTCTTCTGTCTACAGACAATGTGCCAGTCATGGCTCTCATACAGGGCCGGTCTTTCACATATTGATCTTGGACAGCTTCGTTATTGGCTTTTACATGCTAAGGGCACTAATTGGCCCTTTGAGATATTGATATTAACAGTTCAGTTTATGTCTCACAGATGTTTTTTCTCTGATGTCCAGCAGCTTTTAGGTCTAATGTTCAGGGTTGGCTTAATCCTGCAATTTAAAGGGAAGGCGCGATGAGATCTCTGCTGTCAGATGGGGTAGCTGGTCTGCCAGCTCGAGCTACCACTTCTAATTCATCTGCATCCTTTGTGAAAGGATTCAGACAAAGGGCAGCTTATGTGAGTGTTGGGGAACAGAAGACCATTGCAGTCCTATATTTCTTCACAGCCGTCATTCAGGACAATTGTACAATTTATACACAAGCTCTTTGTGCTTTGCTTTAACGTGAAATTTAAAATGACATTACCTTCCAAAAAAGTTAATGTGTGAAAGGGTTCTATGTGATACTTTGACTATATCTATTTCTTTTTTGATCTCTTATAATAAGTGAGTGCTATTGGTTGTACTGTAATAAGTATTCAGAATGTAATTATATGGCAAGCAGCATCTGTCAATAAGGAGGCAACCTTGACCTATCAATAGTAATCTTGCTGAATAAAGACAAGTGTAAAGATTTCAATAGGCATTACATGTCTGTTGATCTTTCAGAAATGGTCAGATCTACAAAAGTCTCTCTTGTATAGATAAATAAACATCAATCAAAATTGTGTCCCTCGCTCTTCAAAATGTTGAAACCCATAGTTTCTTTTTTTTTTTTTTTTTTTTTTTTTGGGGGGGGGGGAGGGGTTGTTCCATCCTGCAAGCATTGTACTCATTGGTGTTGCAAATATCTCATGGCGGGCGTCTGTCTAGAGCTATCACGAGGATTTGATATTTTTTGCTAATACTTGTGAAATTAGATCAAATCAGTTTACATTAGATACTTGTACCAATGCTTGTAAATTTGATGCTGATACCAGTACCTGAGGTGTTAATAAGATGCATACCTATTTTGATTCACTAGTTAAATGCTTCGAAAAAGATAATTATTGCAAGTAAAGAGATTGACTTCAATGGAGAATTTGTTGACTTATCCACTGGGTTGCCTCTGCCTAAATAGGGTTATTATTGTTAATTTTGGTCTTTAATGTCTATGGTTTATTTTTAGAAACACCTTTCCAAGAACTTTATGGACACACTTTTAATCTAACATAACATATTTGACACTAGCCTAAATAATGTGCACATGCAAGTATTAAATCTACCGAAGTATGTTAGAGCATAATATATGTTATGAACATGTCCTTAATAACAAACTGACGATTGTTTGGTACTTTTATGAAAATCTTATAAAAATGTGCTGAATTACATGGTTTGATAATATTTGCGTGCCACCATTACTTCACCAAGCAGCTATAGAAACTGCCCTTAAAGTCTTAAGGCGGTTGCCTAACACCACTGAATACCTTTTGCTCTTGCAGGAAAATGGCAGCTGGAAAAACATACCTAACGCCACATTTTGCACATATGTTCTGGTGTGTTTGGAAGTTCATTCAATCCATTTGGCAGAATATTAAATTATTCTAGCTACTGAGATGAATGAAGGCTCAAGTGCTAAACGTGCCTAGTGTTTGGGTGCGTTTACACACATTTACAGTTTTCCCTCTCCTGAATGCGCAAGAGATGTGGACAGGGGGTCTGTGTTTTTTTTTTTTTTTCATTGTCATGTGCATATGGCCACATAGGTCTAACATAGAGGCTGAAAAACAAAAAGTAAGATACCTGTAGAAGCTGCACTTTTTTTATGTCCTATGTGCAAGAGGCCTAAATCTGCTTAGTATTTTGGTAAATATTGCTATGTCAAACTCCAGACATTGGTTGGTAGGTAAACTGCTCCTTTCCAAATTGGCCTTAGTGTGTGTTTGCGTCTATGCACAGTACGCATGTGAGATAAGGACCTTAGACTTCCAAGAAGGCAGGGACTGATGTAGAGTATGTAAAGCACCATGTAAATTGTCAGCACTATAAAAATACCTGTAATAAATGTATGTAAATATTGCCAATTTTGTAATAAGTTTAAGTCATTTTCTTATATTCGCAAACCATACCCAGCACATACAGGTGTCAGTGTTGTGAGTTAATTGCCCATTTATATTGCTGTTTGACAAGTTGTGCTTTTAACATTTTGCATTGATGAAGTTTACTTATTTTTTAGCCATGATTTTTCAGTTTTGAAGGTTTCAGTTTTAATTTGATTAGGGAATATTCTGGCACTGTGGTGAGCTGATTTTATTATAACAGGATGTAATGTTCCAAATTTTGCCCTGGTCTTCCTTATTTTAATTCCATCCCTATAATTCTGCTTTCTGCTGCTTCTTTTGAGTAATATTTGTTCATTCCTAAAAAAAAAAATGCTCCAATATTAGTGTTCCCAGAAGGGCCACACAAATTATGCAAACGAGGTCTCTGTTTTAATTATAAAACAATTTAGTAGGTCTTTACTATATATCTCATATGCTCCCTTGGGTCTTTGCGTATTTATTCATTGTAAATACCTGTAATAAATAAAAACATTCAGACTGCTTTTCCAACTGTCCCATATTGACAGAAAGCATTGGCACTCTTGGTGCAGTAGACCACGTTTTCATATAAAAAAGAACTGTAATAATGCCTAGTAATTTGTTTACACTACACTGGTATAAAGCAATACATGTAATATTCATCAGTCTTTCACAGTTAATTTAAAGAGGTTGTAAACCTTTACATATACCCAGTGAAATGACTGGCCTCAGGTGATACAGAGCTAAATCCTCTTACATAAGTTGTACCTGTTTATATGCAGTCTTCTCTTTTCTAAAGCTGTTCAAAGTTCTGCATTTTTGCAGCTTGTCTGAGAGTTCTGAAAAAAGGGGGTGCAGATCTAAAAATTACACTCTACAGAGCTCAGTGAATGGAGCTCTGAGAGCTGAATTGAGGAAAGATACCCCACCCTCCCCTCAACACAGCACACAGGAACAGAGCTGAGGCTATCTATCTGCTGGAGGTCCCTCCCCTGTCACTATTTTTCTCTTTGTGTCAGGAAAACTTGTCAGAAGAGACTCATGCTGATAGCAGAGGAGCAAAGCAGCAGACAGAAATGACACTTAGTACTCTTAGTTGAAACAAGTACACTCTATAGAGGATGTGCTTTGTTCATATTTCATGTCTTAGATTTACAACCACTTTAACATTACTTCCTGTAATTTAAAATGTATATCCAATGATTTCTCCTTCCCAAATCCTCCGTTAGAATCTGCCGCACTCTTTTCTGTTCATGTTCAATTCTTCTGCCATCATTCATACACAAGGGTTCACATTCTAGCCACATTGCATCTGTACTTTGTGTTTTTGGCTGCCCACTTCATGCATCATGGTGGACATCTTTCTGCCCCTCCTTTAATGCTCTTTACCAATTTTCACGCAACAATTGTACTTCATTAGCGGATACGGGTATTTGCATTGTAGAGCAAAAGTAATGTATGTGTAGGCACATACTAGCACCTGCATTTTATTTATTGTAGCGGGTTAATATGTTTCAGGAGACAGTGGCCTTACTTTAAAGAAACAAATAACATGTTATAATTGATACTAAAATGAGGTGATGATACATATAACTCTTCTACCCCAGATGTCGATGATGGGAGGCTCTTGATATGTGCTTGATACCTGTCTGTCTGAACACCTGATATAGTATACATATTCAATCATGAAACCAAATGGCTTTTGTTTAGTTTATATCATTCTCTTTTTTAGTATTTCAAATATAGCATCTTCTCATATCTTACCATATCATATTTTTTTCACAGGAGTATTTTTACCCGAGATATTTAGGTAAGTTCCCTGGGAGTTTAACTTTGTGATTATAATTTATGTTATTAAAAAATAACAAAGGTTGTGCTGTACTGCAGATACCATTCTTTTACATTTGATGGTATTTTGACATGTACAGTTAAAAGGTAATTCCAGGCAAACAAAACCATAAAGATTAATTTTTTGTTTTGTTTTTAACCTTTGTGTGTATTCAGAAATCATAATATACTGCTTTTTATATAAGAAGCTGAGTTTATATTAGCTTCCCATATGATTTAGGCTTTTAAAAAAAAACAAGATTTGTATTGCTGTCCCTATTGTAGAGGGCCACCCCTCTATTTGTACTGTGTCCATAGTCACAAAAGAAAATTAGGGGAAATCTAAAAATTTTAGAGTTGATCCAAGATCAAGAGGTGAGGGAAAATCTTCAGTCCTATTCTAGGGACAACTGTCTGAGAGGGAAATACCCTCACTTTGGAAGATTTCATCTTTCTCTTGTAACTATCGGACAGGAAGGGAAATTTCCCCAATGGTACACAGAAAGCCAGTTCTAGAAAGTACATTCAAAGGAATGGTTAACCTTAAAGTCCACAGTAGACACATCAGCTAACTTATGTGTCTCTGAGATTAGGTTGGAGCAGAAGATGCATACTGTATGCTGGACCATGCATGCTTTTCTAATAGAAAAAAATGACCCGTACCTAAATTATTGAGGCATAATGATTCCTAGTAAGAAGCGGACTATACAAGCCTGTAGCTTGGTCCTATAAGACCGGATACCATAACAGTGCTAAAAAAAGTTAATTTTTTTAAAATATGGCTATACTGGAAGTAGAAAACTTTATTAGCTCCATATACAATAGTTATTCACATTTACTTGGAGATGTTATTGCATTGTGAGCACAATTTGCCTAAATCTTCTAAAACATAGATTTTGAATTGGCAGAATTCAGCAGAAATTAATCAAAGCATCAGTTTGTGTCCTTCTGGTCTCTTATCTCTGGTATGCAATTTTTTTAAAAGTTTAAAGAAGTTGTTTTTTGTTTTTTTTTTGTTTTTGTTTTTTTCCCCCAGACTCTTTCTACGTTTCACATCTATCAGGCTTATTTAGACAATGATGTGACAATAGAATGTGTTGATTTTGTACAAAATGTTATAATCTTATTGGCTATTTAGATTCTAGTTTAAGAGGAATTAGAATCATTTGTAAGAAAAAAAGCAAAAAAAAAAAAAAAAACTCAGTAGCTACAAATATTGTAACTGCTGACTTTTAAGAAACTGACACTCGCCAGCCCAGAAGTTTAAAGTTGTCTTCACCCGGGCCAGTTCTTCACTAGTCTTTGGATCCCCGGTACCACCACCTTGGCTGTGGGAGTTGGCTGTGATTTCCTGTTGTTTCACAGCTGACTCTCCACTGTGCATGTGTAAGATCGCACTGCACTGTCAGATCAGTCCCGCTGCCTCCTAGGATGTGTGAAATGTCCCAGGAGATTGTGGGTGGGAGTGGCCAAACTTGCAGACATGGGACCAAGTACCTGTGAGCTGTACTTCTCACTTTTAAGTGAAGGCCCACTTTAACTTTGGGTTGATCAGTACAGATCTTAAAGTGGTTGTAAAGGTAAAGGGTTTTTTTCACTTTAATGCATTCTCTTCATTAAGGTAAAACTACTTTAAGAGTAGAACATCCCCCATCCCACCCACATACTTGAACCCAATCTCAATCTAGCACTGCGCACACCTGCAGCTGCTCCTCTCCCCTTCCCTCTGTCTCATCGACGGGAGAGCTATTGGCTTCTGCTCCTGTCAGTGAAAAACTTTCAGCAGAGAGAAAGGGGTGGGGCCGAGCCACAGCTGTGTCTGAATAAATGCAGAATATGCACAAGTGCCCCCCACAAGAGCTCCGGCACAGGACCCCAGAAGAGGAGGATCAGGGCTACTCTGTGCAAAACCATTGGACAGAGCAGGTAAGTATTACATGTTTGTTATGACAAACAACAAAGCTTTACAGTCGCTTTAATTACACAGGTTACTGATCTTTTACATGAAAAAAATATTACAAAAATATGCCCATATGGGATTTAATCAATCATAAATCAATTTATTTCTACAATTTAGTGTTATAATCAAGTATTAGTTTTTGCTAGGTCACCATGTTGAAGGAAAAAATGTGGTAACTTTAAACTCTAAATGTAATGTAATACTTTCTGATTAATATATTTTCTTGTATACAAATTATTGTTGGACACATTTTCTGACAGCAGTTCCTATTGTATTTTCCCATGTTTTCATGGAACTTGCTTTCAGTATAGTTATTAAAATTTGAACTTCACAAATTATATTTATTCATTACTCACTTGATCTATCTTGGCATGTAAGTATGCATATCTTATACCTGAGGGGCTGCTGGAAATCACTGTAGTAGTCCGTGCTCCCATGGTGATATCCACGATCTTCCTGGGTCCTGTGTGAGTGTTTTCCCCTCTGCCCACAGTCACAGGGATCACTTGTCTGATTGGATGGGGGGGGGGGGGAGGATGTGGCATCATATTTTTGGGGTTTTTTAATCTGATGCCACACATATTTTTGAACATTTTATGCTTGGCACTAGAATTTACTTTTCTTCTTCTTCCTCTTCCTATTCTTTTTCTTTTTCTTTTTCAGGTTTTGCATAGAGTGGAGAGGGTTTTGAACAGCCGTCAGATTTTTATTGCGGTCTTGGACTGGGCAGGTCCCTCCCCTTCATTATTTTTTATTATAGGCACTTATATAGCGCTGTCAATTTATGCAGCGCTTTACATATTTATTATACATTTACATCAGTCCTGAACCCTCAAGGAACTTACAGTCCCTAACTCACATTCATACATACTAGGTCCAAATTAGACAGGAGCCAATTAACTTTACTTTATGACAATTGATTAGAAAATGTGTTGTTTTTTTTTACCAAGGAACATGCATTCCACATTAATAATTATGCTACCAAAATTAATGTGTGCTGTAAATTGCCTCCAGCGTTGTTCTTGTTCCTCCTTGCTGGAGGCTTCTGTTGAAGCACATAGCCCTGAGCAGCAGTTAAAGCAGAACTAAACCATCCTATACTATTCAGCCAAGAAAGCTGCCATCTGTTTGATCTGCAACTGCCATGGTGCTGCACATACAGTTAGGTCCATATATATTTGGACACAGGCACAATTTTAGTTTTTTTCAGGTGTTTACCAAAACATTCAAGCTATAGTTATATAATGGCTATGGGCTGAAAGTGCACACTCTCAGGTTTAATTTAAGGGTATGTACATCCAAATTGGAGGAAGGGTTTAGGAATTACAGCTCTTAAGAGTAGCCATCCCCCTTTTTTTCAAAGGACCAAAAGTAATTGGAAAATTGAAAAAAAGGCTGTCTCATGGCCTGGTTGGGCTACTCCTTTGTTATTTCTTCATCAGTTAAGTAGGTAAAAGGTCTGGAGTTAATTCTAAGTGTGGTATTTGCATTTGGAATCTATTGCTGTGAACTTACATCGTGCATTCAAAGGAGCTGTCCATGCAAGTGAAACAGGCCATTGTAAAGCTTCAAAAACAAAATAAATCCATCAGAGAGATATCAGCAACATTAGTAGTGGCCAAATCAACAGTTTGGTATATTCTGAGGAAAGTAGAATGCGCTGGTGAGCTCAGCAATATAAAAAGGCATGGACATCCACAGAAGACAACAGTGGTGGATGATCACAGGATCCTCTCTATGGTAAAGAAAAACCCATTCACAACATCCAGACAACTGAAAGACACTCTCCAGGAGGTGGGCATATTATGCTCAAAGTCAAGAGAAGACTTCACGAGAGCAAATACAGAGGGTTCACCACAAGGTGCAAACCATTTATAAACCTGAAGAATAGAAAAGCCAGATTATACTTTGCAAAAAAACATCTAAAAAAGCCAGACCAGTTCTGGAAAAGCATTCTTTGAACGTATGAAACTAAGATGAATCTGTACCAGAACGACAGGAAGGAAAAAAGTGTGGAGAGGCTTGGAATAGCTCATGATCCAAAGCCACAACGTCATCTGTAAAACATGGTGGAGGCAGTGTGATGGCATGGGCATGCATGGCTTCCAGTGGCACTGGGTCATTGGTGTTTATTGATGATGTGACAGAAGATAGAAGCAGCCGGATGATTTCTGCAGTGTTTAGAGATATACTGTCAGCCCAGATTCAGCCAAATGCAGCAAAGTTGATTGGACGGCTCTTCACAGTACAGATGGACAATGATCCAAAACACACGGCAAAAGCAACCCAGGAGATTTTGAAGGAAAAGTGGAATATTCTGCAATGGCCGAGTCAATCACCTGATCTCAACCCATTGAGCATGCATTTTCACTTGCTGAAGGCAAAACTAAAGGCATAAAGACCCACAAACAAAGAACAACTGAAGACAGCTGCAGTTAGAGCCTGGCAAAGCATCAAAAAGGAGGAAACCCAGTCTTTGGTAATGTCCATGGGTTCCAGACTTCAGACAGTCATTGCCAGCAAAGGATTCTCAACAAAATATTAAAAATGAACATTTTATTTATGATTATATTCATTTGTCCAATTACTTTTGGTCCCTTGAAAAAGGGGGGGTGGCTACTCTTAAGAGCTGTAATTCCTAAACCCTTCCTCCAATTTGGATGTATATGCACTCAAATTAAACCTGAGTGTGCACTTTCAGCCCATGTCCATTATAGAACTATAGCTTGAATATGTTTTGGTAAATTCCTGAAATAAACTAATATTGTGCCTGTGTCCAAATATATACGGACCTAACTGTATAATCAGTTATAACACCGGTCGTTTGATGGTTTGACAGTTTGGTTGAGAATACAAGCAAATGTGACCGTTAGCATTCCTGTTAGTTCCTCTTTAAAATTTAGACTGTCAGCAGATTGGCCTCTACAATCTCAGCACAGTGCCTAAAAATGCCTAAAAGTGGAGAGCAACTGAGCATGTGCAGAGCAGGGTGAGACAGTGTTTTGTTGGATTTTAAACAGTATAGGCATTCATTTTTAAAGTTTTACATAGTTATACCTACAAAAGAGGCCAGCCTGAAGTGATCTAGCAAGACTTCATTTTCTCAGTAAAGTTCAACCTTAACCTACCAGCATGTCTTTGGAGTGTGGGAGGAAACCGGAGTACCTGGTGGAAACCCACGCAGGCACAGGGAGAACATGAAAGCTCCGTGCAGTTAGTGCTATGGTTCAGCTTTGAAACAACAACCCTAGTGCTGCTAGGCAGGAGCGCTAAAAACTTAGCCACTGTGCTGCCTATTCTTTCTCCCTATGGAAAAAAAACACATGGGCAGAATATTAAAGAATGCAAAAAGAATTTCACAGCTCTATCCTTCCCCCACTAAAAATATTGCTAGCTTTGTCCTCTTTGGAGAGATTTCCCATCACTTCCTGCTCTACTTACCTTTTGCCCCAGAGACAGAAAATAACAAAAAAAATCTGCCTAATGAGTATGCAGCTGGTAAAAAAAAAACAGATGATGGTTCTGCTCCACTCACTGAAAAACAAAGAATGTTTTAAAACTGCAGCTAATATTTGTAACTTTAATGCATATCCTCTCTTCTCTAGAATGCATTCGTAGGTACTGGTTTCCAGAAAGAAAAGATCCTGGTCTCTCTACCTGTATACATAGTAAGTAGTCTTTGTGACGTCTCTGTACAACTTTATTTAGCACAATAAATGTCTGATATCTGTTTTTTTGGATGCAGAATTGTCCTGTTTTCACATTACAAATGAGCCACAGCATTATATAAATATTCCACCAATATTTTTCTCAGGCTCGCTTATCTGTTCTTCACATAACAATGACGTACTCGTGTTTTAGTGTGAAACGGAAGCAGCTCCAATGAGCACAGTGTTTATAACTGAGAACTGGCAAGTGACTAGCACTTTATTCATAATTTATTTAACAAGTAAGTCCTCACTTGTGTGAGATATTTTGTTGATATTGGAATCTGCTTGGTATTGCAGTTGTAAAAGCTCAATCAGCAAATATCTGACATTCCGTACTGAATAACCAGTTCCTTCCTCCTTTTCCCGAAACTCACTACACAGCTGCAAGATAAAGCCTTCCAATCTGCACTTGTTTACTGCACATGACTATACCTTACATGGTGCCAGCTTTTCACTAGCACAATACAGTTTGAATATTAAATGTTGTGTTTTTTTGTTTTTTACCCCAGAGTTGGGGAGTGGGGGGGTGTCCACAAGTGTTGTGTTCAGGTTACACTGTATACTGTTCATTGGCCTTCCTTTAGATTGTAAGCTCCACGAGCAGGGCCATCATGTTCCTTCTGTACTGAAATGTATTGTAATTGTACTGTCTCCCTTATATTGTAATGTGCTGCGCAAACTGTTGGCGCTATATAAATCCTGTATAATACTAATAAACTGATGGTTGTGCTGCACTGATCACTGACAAATCTGAAACCATATATAATGTGAAACCTTACAAGATCTTAAGTGTAAATGTGCAAACACAGACGTTGGACATATTATTACAGTAAGCTTCAGTATGTTAAATAGTTGTTTCACCTAAAAGTGGTATTTTAGTTAAAAGTAGAGCCCAACTGTTTTTGCATGTTTATATCTAGAATCTAAAGATAAATTGAAAAATACAACCGAGAAAGTAGAACCCTTTTTTTCTTTGTAATGGCCACAGGAGGTGTATAGATCCAGGAGCCTAGAAAAGAGCTCTTGAGATTCCTTGAGAAATCTAAAATACTGCCTCAAGGTTTAGCAGCTATCAAAGATTGAAATATCCGTTTTTGTGGGCTATCCTAAATACCCTTTAAAACAAAGATTTTAGCGTTAAAAGTATTGATGCTGCCCTCTTGAATTAAGCCCCTTTTACACGGGGTGGACTCTGTTATGATCAACGGGGTATCTGTCCACTGATTGAAGCAGAGTGGGACAGATGACAAGGACACAGCCCGCCCTGCTGTATGGGTGGCCAGGAGTAAATGGACTCTGCTGCCCCTTTACACTCGGCTGCCCTTCCATCCAATCCGCCTAGATGGAGGAGGATGGATCCCCTTCGGTTTTTTTTCTTTTAGCATACCAGACCAGATTGGGGGGGGGTGTACACGGACACAAGCTCATTTACACCTGTCGCTTCATAGAAGTAAATTGAAATTTCCAATCCGGTTCGCCTGAAAAACTGACAGGCGGACCTGATTGGATCCTTTGTGTGAATAGGGACCTCAGAAAAACTTCTATATGTAGACAAAATAAATAAAAATTAGCACAAGAGGCAAAACTTACAGCCAGTGGGATGTGTCTCTTTTGCTGATGCCACTTCTGTTAGGTGTCCCATATTTCCTCCATTGTTCATGAACACTATGATACCTGATAATACCTGCTTCAATTTCGGTGTTTCCAATTTAACTCGATTCCACTGACTTACAATTAATATTAAAATTTCACCTGGCCTGGTTCCCAGGCATGGATTTTGACCTCTGTTCTTACACTGTAAAACCATTTGCATAGATCCTAAATCTCTTAATGCTAATTCAGTCAGTTTTTTTGAATGGGTGTTAAATGCATTATGTGGCACCCTTTTCTGCCTCTGTCGGTCACCTGTATGGATTTTTTGGGGCTTTGGTGCAAATTATGGAAATATCAGTAACCACTATTTGTGAGTTAAAGCATTAGCAATCATATCTTAAGCACTCTTCCCCTGCACAGACTGCCTGCCATCCTACCCTCTAAATTCCTACCTGCAATATTGCCCACCGTCATACCCTCCGCACTCCTTTCCTCACAGATGCTACAGATGTTTGTAGTTTTACAATAATACCGACAAAAAACACTTTTAATATTAACCACTTAAGAGCCGCCCCATAGCAGATATACTGCTACAGGGTGGCTCCACTGCGCAAAATCACATAAATATTTGTGGTTTTGCATTTCCAGATAGGGGGCACGCGCGCCATTATTGGCTGCTGGATATGTCAATCACTGGTTCCCGGCTGGCGATTCCCGGCCGGGATTCTGTAATCATCGGAAGGGCTGAGAGGGGAGAGATCTGTGTGTATACAACACAGATCTTTCTCTTGTCAGCATAGACATGCTTCTTTGTGTCTCTCTGCACAGCAAAGAGATACAAAGCAGCATGTCTCCCAAGTAAAAACACACACGCAGCACACAGCCCATATTCGCCCCAGATGTTAACCCTTTCCTATCCAGTATCATTAGTACAGTGCCGTTGCTTACCACTGATCACTGTATTAGTGTCAGTGGCAGTTCCCCCCAGTGTCAGAATGCCCGCCGCAGTCCCGCTATAAGTCGCTGATCGCTGCCATTACTAGTATAAAAAAATTCCAGTAAATATACCGCCATTTGTAGACACTATATCTTTCAAGTAAACCAACTAATATACACTTATTGGGGTTATTTAATTGCAACGACATGTAACAGAATACATTTTGGCCTAAATTTATGAAGAAATTTTATTTTTTAAATGTTTTTATTGGATATGTTTTTATATCATATATCATACACATATATATATATATATATATATATATTACACATATACATACAAAAGGTGAAACTCGATGCAAAAGTTCATTTATTTCAGTAATGCAAATGGCTCCCCAAATCACACACCGATTGTGGAAAACTTCACACTGGACTTCAAGCATCTTGCAGTGTTGTGCCTCTCCATTCTTCCTCCATACTCTGGGTCCTTGTTTCCAAATGAGATGCAAAAGTTGCTCTCATCAGAAAAGAGGACTTTGGACCACTGAGCAACAGACCAGGTTCTGTTTTTCTTTAGCCCAGGTAAGACGCTTCTGACGTTTGTAGGTGTTATGGCTTAATTAGCTGATTAGAGTGGGACACTTTGAGCTGAGAATATTGCACCTTTTCACAATATTCAAATTTTCTGAGATTGTGGATTTGGGGTTTTCATGAAGCTGTAAGCCATAATCATCACAATGGTGACAAATCACGGTTTGAACTATCTTGCTTTGCATGTAATGAGTCTATCTCATATATTAGTTTCACCTTTTTAAGTTTGCATTACTGAAATAAATGAACTTTTGCACGATATTCAAATTTTTTCGAGTTTCGTGTGTTGTGTGTGTGTGTGTGTATATATATGTGTGTATGTATGTATGTGTGTGTGTATATATATATCATATATATATATATATATTATATATATATATATATATATAATTCTAAATTGTCAGGTTTTTTTTTTATGTTTTACAGCATAAAAAAATGTAGAAGTGCTCAAATAACCCCAAAAGAAAGCTCTATTTTGTGGTGGAAAATAAGGACATAAATTTTAATTGGTACAGCATTGCATGACTGCGCAATTATCAGTTAAAGTAATGCAGTGCTGTATTGCAAAAAATGGCCTGGTCAGGAAAGGGGGGTAAATCTTCTGGAGGGTAAGAGGTAGAAGGAAAATATTGGGGTTGTTACATTTTTTTTTTTTTTTTTTTTTTTTTTAAATTTTAAGTAAATGTTTATAGAAAATTGTTATCCTAAAGAGCTGTGTCTGTTTCATTTCAGAGGCAGGAAAAAAGGTGAGAATGCATCTTTTTTTTCATAATAATAATTACTAATTATTATTATTTAGTCTTGAATATAGTAAAGAAAATAAGTACAAAAACACTATAGATTCCTTTACATTAAATAAGGATTAAAAAAATTCCTGTACTTGTGCCTTGAATTTTTTAAGCAGATATGTAGTGCCACTATTCGGTATACATATTATAAATCCATATATGTACAGTAGTTTCATTTTTCTATCTTGTGTTCATGCCCAGTAGCTGTCTCATTTGTGTGCTTTTCACTTCCTTAAAATATGAGTAAAACAAAAGTTGTCCTTTTTCTATCCTCAAACAAGTACTGTTGATTAACCCAAATACCCTCTGCTGCCCCAGCTAGTTTTTTTATTGCTAATAATATTTGATTGTTCTCTTGCAATATGTTTATTGGAGAGAAAAAAATAAAAATCGAACAATCACTGGCCGCTAGCATAAAGATCATTTATTTCAATTCAAAACCATAGAAAACGTAAGAGGTATTATCACATATAGTATCAGTTGAAATATATTTCTGATTTTGAACATTAGATAATCTCCAAACGAAAGAAAAGCATTGTTGTAGCAATTGCAAGAAAAACAAACAAAACAAGCCCCTATCATTAAACATAATATTTGAAAGCAGGGTAACCTCATGACACAGCCTATTAATCAGAAAAATGTAAGATAGTAGTATATAAAAGAGCAAGTAATCCCAAAGAGTGGGGGGCACCTTTTTTTTTCAAAAGGAAAAGACAGGATGAAAAAGGGGGGGAGATGAGGTAAGACCTAGGCAACTCAGTGGGAAGGTGAGGGCAGCACTGGGGACGGATTCAAATAGATATTCTTATATTTAGAGACCCAAGGGTCCCATGTCCTTTCAAACACTATTATCCCTCACAGAGCCCTAGGGAACATTACCAAAATGGGGGAGCTCGTCCCTACCCTCCTCGAGAATATGGGTTTAATAATAACCAGAACTATTATCCAAATGATTACTATAATTATAATCAGAACCGGTCTTACTACCCTAAACGTCAGGACCATAACAGATCAGGTAATAACCAGGGCAGCACCAAACCTCCGAAATCA